TCCCCTGCACAGAAGTGCGCAAGGAAGAGGGATGAGCGGTCGATGGCAGTCGACAGAGTCACAGGAATGCTCGCAGGACGCACCCCACACCCCTACTGCACTGGCACCGGTAGGTCATTTTGTGGATTCACGTAGGTGTTTCTAAAAATCTGCATGTGTCACATGGCCTGGCCTGTGGGTCGGACGTTCATTTTAAATGCTGGCAGAACACATCCTCGGAGTACTCCCAATTAGAGCAATTTTAACACGCGTTTTAATATGCTTTTTGAAACTTTATTTCGTCCCCCGGGCCTGATCTGCATTCCATCTGTCTTGCACACGTCACCCTGGGCTGGCCTCACGACGTGTTTTCTTTGTGCTGCCCTTGCATGCGTGAGCACAGAATAGGTTCCCCAGATGCGCCGCCCTGGTCCCAGCCGCCTCTTTATGGGGACACCTGGTGTTTTCTTTTGGTAACATCTCACTCTCGGGAGTAACCATCAGGGACATGGACTTGCCCACCCTGGCCACCTTCAACACCCAGCAGGTTCCACTGGGCACGTTCCCTGCACTCAACGTGATCCTCCAGTTGCCACTGGAAACCGCAGAGCTGCGACTTAGTGGAGCCAGCTGGCGCTGGGGAGGCGGGTGGGCGGGACGATGGCCCACCACACTGTCCGTCATCAGTCAGAAAAAGGCCTGGAACACGTGGGGAGCTTCCTGCGGTTTAGCTCAGCAACCTGGGCGGCTGGGGGGGAACTTCTCTAGGTTCCACGCGGACCGCAAGCCAGCGGGGCTCAGGCATCCAGGAGTGAGGTTTACATTTCGCATTTTGGAGGGAACATGCCGACGCGTCTGTCCTGCAGGTGGGCTGTGATTCAGGCTGATGCTTCTCCTGGGAGCCAGTGTAGGGGAAAGACAAAATCCCCTGAGATCTGATGCAGCTCGACCCCCACTAATCCGAATGCCGTGACTAACAGTCATTCTTGCAGAATCTCAGGTTGTAAATTACTCTCCCTGGGTGCTGCCAAAAGGCCTTAGAAGCAACATCGTCACGTTACTAAAGTAGTTTGTTGACCAATAAATCACAGAATGACTCAGAGCAGGGGAAGGTCACAGCTGCTGACGGGACAAGGACCACACTGAAGCAGAGGGACTGTGGGGACACGTGTGGGGACAGGCGCTTCCTGGCGGCACTTGGGGTCCATCAAGGACAGTGGCCAACCTTACAGGGCACTTCAACTACATTTTGCCCCCAAATGATGTTATGTAAGAAACTTCCGTGGTTCACAGGACATTTTAGAGGGAGGGAAGTCTAACGGCTGTCCTAACTAAGCCAGAAGTGTTTGCTAGTGCAGCAACAGTAGGACCGCTGCTCACTCGTGAAAATCCAGCATGGCCCTCCGGAATTGCAGGCAGCTCTCCTGTGCCTGTCACCCGGGGACCAGGCTCCCTCTTGGACGCTCTCCTAGTCACCAGCCTTGGGGGCCTCTGCCAGCAGCTGGTGACAGGAAGGGGCAGCAGACAAGCAGGCCCACATTCCTCTCCGGAGCCCACTGGCAAGAATGTGTCACCAGGCGCTCCTTGAGACAGGGGGAGTGGCAGTGTAGCTCTGGCAGGGCAGCTGCACCAGGTGACACTGCACCAGCGAGAAGAACACGGCTTCGCTGGATGGTTGGTCCCCGCAACACACAGGGCGAGGAATGTGCCGAACGCCTACCATCTCAGAAATCCCACAGCCTCAAGAGGAGGGGCCGTGTCCCTTCCAGCTCACAGCCCTGCACTCTCAGCTCTCGGCGCTGGCTAACGGGTGCAAAGCTGAGCCAGCCTCACACGTGTTAAGACAGGACAGGATCTATTTTCTCCACTTGGCTGTCCAGCATTTTAGAAAGGAATACAGCTCTAGGGACATAAGCCTTCTTTAAAAATATTTTCAAAATATATTTTATTTCTTTTCCATATGGATTTTGCTGAATGTCCAAGGTACACATGAGCTTCATATACAGAAATAAAGGAGAGTTCTTTAAGAACTGGGATTGAATCAGTCACAAGAATGATCAAATTTTGATTATGGAAAATAAACTTGCACGTTATCAAAGCTAAGCTTAAGAGTTTCCTTTATAGAGATATCTCTCATTTACGAGAGAAGTTAGCTGGAACCACCCCCCGTGGGTACAGATGGGAGAAAACGCATCACTGCGGAAACAGCTTTGCACGCAAAGGTCTTTTAGTTCACGCGTGCCAGTCTCCCCGCGGGTACGTGGCGTTCTGTGCTGCTGACCTTTGTGGGTCAGCTGTGAACTCTGATTAGAAGCGTGGACTCTTGGAGATGGGTTTGGTATAAATCTCTAATGTGCCGAACTGGGAAGCGTCAACAGTACTGAACGTGCGGAGGACCAATGTGTGCGTCCCACCCTCTATGTTTCTGCACCGTTGGCATCGTCGTCGTCGTCGTCTTTGGCTCTGAAATGCATTTTCCTGAATTCGCGTCTGCTCATCGAAGGGCAGGATGACGACGCTGGCGGGAGGTCCTTGGAGGGAAGAGAACACCTGCTTCAGGCACGGGTTGCCCAGCACGAGCACCCGTCTCCGGGCTCTGGTCCCACCCCACCCCCCTGTCATGGGAGTGTGCTCCCCACCAGCGTGATGGAGGGAGAGAGGAAAGACTCTGGGTTAAAAGCAAAAGCAAGCCTGGCAAATGCGGGGGACCTGCCCAGAGAGCCACAAACCACGGCCATGACTTCACACCCCGCAGCAGGGTCCAGACTCACGTCGGCCAGCCCGCCCACACCCGCGCTCGCTATGGCAACGGTTCTCAGCTCCGTGCGGGGGATGCCCCACATCAACAACCGTTCTGTTCTCTCCTCCCGGGTTAGAGCTCTTACTGTGTTTGATCTGCATCTGGTGGCACTCACACGTGTGAACTGGGGCCGCGACCAGGTGTGCGGTCTGCTGGGGGCTGCCTGCCCGGGGGAGAGGCCACAGGCTTTACCTGCATAAGCTCGACGTTTCCAAAGAAGCGGCTCACTGGCATTGGCTGGTTGCTGTCGTCGTCGAGAAGGACGCTGTTGTCCATCTGCAGTGGAGGCGTGTGGCTCTGCTCCAGGTCCGCCGCCACCCCGTCCCTCTCGGGGCAGCCACTGCCGGACTGTCCTCCCGCAGGGGCCCCGCATCTCAGCGGGGGTGGCCTGTCCTCAGTCTCTACCGGGCAGGTGTCACTCATGGCTCCACAGTGCCCCCGGGGGAGTCCTGTGGTCCCCTGAGGAGCGGAGCCGCTGGCTTCCTTTCCTGGAAGCCTGGCCCTGTCCTCGGCCGATGCCAGAGGCTCGCATTGACCCGGGGTCTCGGGGGTCGCTGTGGGCACAGCAGTGCTGTCACTCTGGGGGATGGGTTTCTGGAATTCTGACTTCACAAGATGACCTTTGTCGTACTTGAACTTCTTGGACGTTCGCCTGTCGGTGGCCTTTTGTGATGAGGAAGGCTGTCAGGAGAGAAAAGGCAAGGGAAGACCAGACACGCTGAAGGTTACGAAGCAGATGGCAAATAGTTAACAAGCCTCAACGCCAGGGGCGGGCAGTCCTGCTCGCAGCAAGCGACGTCACTGCTGGAGCCACAACTTACAGGACAGGGTCCTTTCATTGTCTGCCGCCAAAGGGGCGGAGTCCAGACTGACAGCTGTCCCCGAGGGGCACCCTGACATGTAAAATGATGACCCCAGACCCAGCTTCCATTCGTTTCTGCTGGGCTGTGAGCTCTGACGAGGCAGGACTCTCTGTTCTACGGCAGGAGTGGGCGCTCAACAGGGCCGTGAACTTGACTCAGCGCAGCACTAACAAGCGGCACCCCAGGAGGGAAACCAGGCCAGTTGCTGCTGTGAAGCCAAGTCTAGCCAGACCGCCAGGCTGTGGCTCAAGGGAGCAGCTCTGGAAACTGGGACCACCGGGCCACCATGGCTGCGTGACCCTGGCTGGACACAGGGTCCCCTGCCTCCCCACCTGCCCTTTGGGGTGAGCAGCATGGCCTGTGCCAACATTGCTCAGGCTGCCCAACAGAGGCCGCTGGGCCCACAGCTCTCGGTGGGTGGGGAGCATGTGCACCGAGGGTGGGGCCTCCTCTGATGGCGACAGTGCTGTGACCTCACCTCTGGTCTGTTCGCCACACTCAAGGCTTTCTAATGTGACACGTTTCGTGGAAAGGTGGATACTCAGTCCAGTCCTGTCTCCGAGGGGCTGAGGCTCACCTGACATGCCGTCCGGGCAGACGTGGCGACGCGGGCTTCCTGGGCCGAGGCCGATGTGGCCAAGCAGCTCCGGGCTCGGAGGCGCGCCGAGGACCGCACTCCACCTGCCAGCTGGGCCAGACCAGAGGCTGGTCAGAGACCCCGAAGATGGCCCCTCCCACCCCCATGTTTTTATCGACCATGGAAAGACAGACACCGTGTGGCTGATGGGATCTTAGTTCCCCAACCAGGGGTTGAACCCAGGCCCGCACAGTGACAGCGCCGAGTCCCAACCACTGCACCGCCAGGGGCTCCCCTGATACCGTGGCCTGAATGTGCGTATCTGCACAAAGCTGGGTGGAAGGTGCTGACCCCCATTTCCATGATCTGGGAAGCTCGCATACTCTGTCCCTACCTCCCACGTTTTTAGAACCTCCATCTGTGAGTGAATAGATGTCAGTTGACTTCAGGTGTTTAGAATAAGCAGCCTGTATCCTTGCTCAGAAGGTTCTTCATAAAAGGTGAAAAAGCAAAAGCCCCCCTCCCCAAACCCTCTCTTTGAAATCACAGGGGAGTCAGGCCGAATCCCATCAGCTTAAAGGAGCTCTAGCTGCCACAGACAGGCCGTAACACTAACAAACCGCCCGCCGCCATCTCACTTGGAATGCAAAGGGAAGTCTTCTAGTGACAAGAAAGGAATTAATTAAAACAATGAAACTTACAATCATTTTATTTAGGAATAATTTTAGGTTTTCAGAAAAGCAGCAGAGATGGGAAGGGAGTTCCTGCCCGTGCCTCCCTCATCTTCCCGGCAGCCAACAACCTGGTGCATCTGTCAAAACTAAGCTCAGCATTGACGCGACAATTCACGAAACTGGGGCTTCATTTGCATTTCACCTGCCTCTCCACTGACTGCTCTCTCTGTTCCAGAATGGGGACCACAGACACTTAGAAAACAACACATTAAAGCGCAAGTGAGAACTTGAAAGTAAGAGAGGTGGGGGATAGTGAGGAGGGCATAGCGGAGGGCAAGCCTGACAGCGCTGTCCCAGCGACCGAGACCTGGGGGCTGAAGATGGGGCCAGATGGGGGGCAGCATGCGCAAAAGTGGAGAAAAGAGATCAGAAAGCACACAAGCTAGTTTAGAAATCTTTACAGCAGCATCTCATCCAGAGGACCCTGGAGGAGGGCAGGTCACCTAGGCTCCGAGGCATGTGACAGCTTGCGGAGGGCACTTAAAGGGAAGGGGAAGGCAGCTTCCACAGAGAGAACAAGGCAGGACCCGCTGATGTGGACACCCCGGGGCTGGGCTTTGCTCAAAGAGCCCAGGCAGCAGTGTGGCCGGTCATACCCAAGGAACTAAGCCTAAACGATTACAGAATATCTCCTGTGGGGACGGCACCGCACCACCCGGTCTCCCTGGAGCTCCAGCGCTGCCATAGTCGGGAACAGACATTCTTAGCCCCAGAAAGCTGCTGACTATCTTCTCCTTCCCGTTATAGTCCGACCCCAAACATTTCGATGCCGGGTTGTGCCAGGCTCCCTCGGGGAGGGGGGACTGGCGCTCGTGACAGCGGCCACCATCCCTGAGTGTCAACACACAGGCGCTGTGCTCGTGCTGAGCGGCTTTAAAAGGAGCAGCACCCCACTGCAGATGGAGACTCGGGAGAGGACCCTGCCAAGGTCACACAGAGTGATGTCTGGCTTCAGAGCACCTCCCCCTGCTCTGTCACCAGAGCCACCCGCATGAAAGCCTTGGCTGCTTGCAGAGGGACCGAGCAGAGAACCTGCTGTCCGGCTCTGGGGCTGTGTGCCGTGCAGGCCCTCTGCTGGCAGCAGGGCACCTCTAGATGCTTTGTACAACAGCTCCTCGGGTGGGCCTGTCACCCCTCAGCTTTCTGGGCCCCTCTGCAGAGGTGAAGTCGGTGAGGGTCTGGCTGAGACCCAGGAGCTGTGGTTACAGGCACCTGAGCAGGCCATCTGCCATCCGCACCAGATTTGTGAGAGTCAACTCCAGTGGCATTTTGGCTTTAGTCTAATCGTGGGTAAAACTACCTCTAAGGCCCTTGCTCCAAAACGTCAAGAATCAATTACATTGTTTTCTAACTTGGAGAACCGCTGCTCTTCAGTTAGGCAAACTGGTTGCTGCCACGTAAACAATCCCTAAATGAAAGAGTCCCCATCATTGAAGACTTCCTCCTTCCAAGCAGACTTGTTAAAGACTAAAAGGGCTGGAAGAGATCAACAAAACAGCAAGAGGTGCTCCACTAACCCTCCCCCAGTGCAACTGGTGAAGAGTATTAAAAACAACCATTTAAAACCTTTGCAAGTGGTCCCATAAGCAAAAAGCAAAATGAAGAAACAGTTATTCTGGTGTCCCAACTCCAAGCGGCCAAGGTCAGCACACAGGACACCCTCCCCCCGCTCCCAGGCAGAGGGCTTTCTTCCCAGGGGAGCAGGATGGCAGCACTTCTCATTCTGCCCTCACCCCACCTGCTGTGAGGCCAAGTCTCCAGCAAGCACGCTTGAGAGGAGGGGCTCCCTTCTGCCGAGGCCCCACTCATGGAACAGGGGTTCCTGCCTGGGCAGGGCACTAAGGAGACTGGGGCCCCATCACCCTCGCCCCTCCTAGTGAGCAGTGGTTCCAAGGCCAGGAGAGGCAAGTCCAGGGGATCTCAGGCTGCTGGCCCCCTTCCCTCCCCTGAGCACTTAGCTCTGAGAGCAGAGGTGTCACACAGAGAAGCCTGTCACTGTCTCCAGCTGGGGAGCCCTGGCTCAGATTCTGCCTGGAGAAGAGGCAGGCATCAAAACAAAGGGCTCTTAATCGCTTCCAACTTCATTTACAACAGAGTGTGGAGAAGGTAATGCCTAAGGGGTCCTTAAGAACAGTGGAAGCTGTGATGAAAGGCAGATGGGAGAAAAGTCAAGATAAAGTGTAGGCGTATAGTCTTCAGGAGACAGCCAGGGAAAAACACAGCAGGAGGATCCCTCCTGGGGTCAGAACAAACATCAAACACTGATCTTAGAAACTATTCCTTCAGAGAAGCCAGAATGTGACTAGATTCCTTTGTAGAAAATTTATACTCCAGGTCATCGCTGAAAACGACTGGGTGATCAGCTGGTGACTAGCGGAGCTTAAAAGCTGGGTGTGGGGACTTCCCTGGTGGTGCAGTGGTTAAGAATCCACCTGCCAATGCAGGGGACATGGGTTTGAGTCCGGGAGTATCCCACGTGCCGCGGAGCAACTAAGCCCGTGTGCCACAGGTACTGAGCCTGCGCTCTAGAGCCCGCAAGTCACAACTACTGAGCCTGCAAGCCACAACTACTGAAGCCCATGTACCTAGAGCCTGCGCTCCACAACAAGAGAAGCCACCACAATGAGAGGCCCGCGCACCGCAAAGAAGAGTAGCCCCCGCTCGCCACAACTAAAGAAAGCCCGTGCACAGCAACGAAGACCCAACACAGCCAAAAAAAAAAGAAAGAGCTGGGTGTGGTCAGAGAAAGATGAAGACAGCCCCCCTGAAACCAGTGAGACCCAGGTTACTGTGGGCACACCCAACACTGCCCCTGAGGAGCATCATCACAGCTTCAGCCGTGGGAAGGGAAACAGACTCTACTAGAATCCACCCCATCACTAAACAAATAAAAAGGACATTAACAGTAAAAAGCCTCAGGGTGGGGGTGGGGGACCAGTACCCAGAGCTGCTATAATATATTATCTAACATGTCCAGTTTTCAACAAAAAATTATGAAACATGCGAAGAAACAAAAAAGCAGACCCATACACTAGAATAAAAGCAGGCAACAGAAACTCCCTGTGAGTGATCAGATGTTGGATTTATCAGAAAAGGACTTCAAAATAGCCATTATGAACGTGTTCAAGAACTAAGAGAGACCATGATCAAAGAAAGATTTGATGACATCACATCAGATAGAGATTATCAATAAAAAGATAGAAATTATAAAAAAGAACCAAATGGGAATTCAGGAGTTGAAAATTACAATAGCTGAAGTAAAAAATTCACTGGCAGGGGTGGGGGCGTGCTCAAGAGTAGATATGAACTGGCAGAAGAAAGAATAAGTGAACTTGAAGATAAGATTGCTAGATTACACAAGCTGAAGGACAGAGAGAAATAAGAACGGAGAAGAATGAAGAGCGCCCCAGAGACATGGTGGAGACTATTAAGTGCAGCAACATATGTGTAATGGGAGTACCAGCAAGAAAGGAGAGAGAGAGGGGCAGAAAAAATATTTGAAGAAATAATGGCTGAAAACTTCCCAAATTTATTGAAAAACAACAATGTACAAACCAGCAATCTCTGTTTCTCTTTCTTTTTTTTTTTCTTTTTGGCTGCGCCGTGCAGCATGTGGGATTAGTTCCCCAACCAGGGATTGAACCCACGCCCCCTATAGTGGAAGCACGGAACCCTAACCACTGGACCACCAGGAAATTCCCCAAACCCAGCAATCTCAGAACTGAACTTCAAATAGGATAACTGCAAAGAGACCTATAAGCAGATGCAACACTGTTTAAGTGCTGAAAGTCAAAGACAAGGGGAAAGTCTTGGAAGCAGCAAGAGGAAAATGACTCCTTAGGACAAGGGAGCCCAACAAATAAACTGTTGATTTAGCAGAAACAATGGGCGCCAGACCACAGTGGGTATATTCAAACAGATTCAAAGTTCTCAAACAAAAAAACTGTCAACCAAGAATACTATATCCAGCAAAACTATCCTTCAAAAGTGAAGGCAAAATAGACACTTCCACATAAATAAAAACTGAGAGCACTTGTTGCTGCAGACTCCTCTTACAAGAAATACTAGAGGAAGTTCTTTGGGTTGGAAGCAGGTGACCCCAGACGATAATTCAAATCCACAGAAAGGGCTTCCCTGGTGGCGCAGTGGTTGCGAGTCCGCCTGCTGAGGCAGGGGACACGGGCTCGTACCCCGGTCCGGGAAGATCCCACGTGCCGCGGAGCAGCTGGGCCCGTGAACCATGGCCGCTGAGCCTGCGCGTCCGGAGCCTGTGCTCCGCAACGGGAGAGGCCACAACAGTGAGAGGCCCGCATACCGCA